CCGGGGCGTCCAGAACTGGGCGTCCAAGGGGGGGGGGTCGCAGCTCGTGGCCCGAGGCGCGCGCGCGCCGCCCAGGGCGCAAGGCGGCGGGGCGTGCTGTAATGAGAAGGGGCGCCATGCAAACAGGGGAAAAACAAACAAACATACAAAAGCACACAACAGCACACACACACACGCACACTCACACTCACACACACACACAAAAAAAAAAACACTGTGGGAAACGACTCACAAACACACACTGTGGGGAACAACCCACAAACACACAAAACACACACACACAACACAACACAACACAACACAACACACACACAGTGGAAAAAAAAACACGCACAGTGTGTGTTTTGATCTCATGGCCCACGCCATGTAAATTATCCACCCCTTATCATCACCCCTCTCTTGGCCGCCCCTGAATTTTCAGGCCGGGCGTCACCACCCATCTCCGAGCCCCGAGACCAACATGTATCGATCCGGCCAGAGAGACCGCAGCAGAAAGATGGGGTCAAAGGCTCTGGACGTGATTTTTCGGGGCGTACAACTTTTTTCGCAACGTTGGATCTCGGGGTCCTGCTTCCGTCGTCCTCCTCCCTCCTGCTGCCTTCTCGTCTTCCTGAGCCATTCCTCTCAGGCCCTAGGGGGTCCCGAGTATTGTGAACACCAACTCAGGAGTGGCTTTACTGTCAAAGGGCCATCGGGGCTGTGGGCCACTGCGTCGCCAGCTGCGGCGCCGCGGCCATGCCCCGCCAACTTGTGCCACCGCCCGAGATTGCCCACGTACCTTTTCCCGTTCCCTGCCCCCGTCGTTCTTCCCCTTCCGTCCCCTCAATCAGGGCACGCCATGCAACACTGTACTCCTCCCGGTGCGAACTCTCGGGGCCCGCAGGCGTCCGCATCAGGAGGAGGAGGAGGAGGAGGAGGAGGAGGAGGAGGAGGAGGAGGAGGAGGAGGAGGAGGAGGAGGAGGAGGGAGGAGGAGGAGGAGGAGGAGGAGGAGGGGGAGAAGGAGGAGGAGAAGGAGGAGGGAATGAGCGCCCAACGTCAGCAGAGCGGCGGCCCGGCGAGGCCACAGGCGAAGCCCGAGCCTTCGGCCACCTGCCTTGCTGCGATCGGTTCGGGCGGAGAGGCAGACTGCGGCCGCAGTGTCTGTCAGTGCGAGGCGGAGCACGAGCCAGGCGTCATCGGCTACACCGCGATGGACAGCTCTCGTCAGGAGGCGAGGCAGAGCCAGGCCCACCCACGGCCCCCGCCGCGAGGCAGGGACCGGGGTGGAGGGACGCGAGAAGGGCGGGCCGCGGCGTCTGGTGCACGCTCGCGCGGGTGGAGCTGGAGCCTATGACGTCATCAGCTGCAGCAGCGTTGCGCAGGCGTGCGAGGGAGGCAGCCAGTGGCAGCAGGAGATGCTCAGTATCGTTTAACCCAGTGGCGTGGCATGGGCCCCCTAGATGGGGATATAGGTCGTTCTCTTATCATCAGCTGCAGTGCCGGGCCCATCGTGGGAGCCAGCGGAGAGCAGTGACAGCAGACGCGATCCGCTGCAGCGCGGGCGCGTGCTCAGCGCGGAGGAGACTGCCGCCGTGGGCGACCAGCAGGCCGAGAGCACGCGCAGGCAGCGGCGGCAGCGGTTGGTGCAACAAGGCAGGCAGGGGCTGCAGCGGTTGCCAGTGTTAGGTCGGGCATGTCCCCCTGCAGGGGCATTTTGGGCGAAAGATTAAGCATACCCCCCAACATGCCCCCAAGTAGCCAAAGCATGCTCAGCACATCGTCCCCATACTAGTTTGTTTTTGACAATTTTCGGATATTCCTCCTGTAGGGACAGGCCCGACTGTATGCCACTGCGAGAAGCCATGCGTGATCAGCTGCAGCTGGGATCAGCGCGTGGGCGGTGCAGCAGCGCGTGCGCGAAATCGCGGGGGGCGCTGGCTTGGGAGCAGGCTCAACCCCCTCCTCCTCCTCCTCCTCCTCCTCCTCCTCCTCCTCCTCCTCCTCCTCCTCCTGCCTCCTCCTCCTGCCTCCTGCCTCCTCCTCCTCCGCCTCCTCCTGCTTCCTGCCTCCTGCCTCCTCCTCCTCCTCCTCCTCCTCCTCCTCCTCCTCCTCTTCCTCCTCCTCCTCCTCCTCCTCCTCCTCCTCCTCTTCCTCCTCCTCCTTCCGAAGAGGAGGCCGACGAGGAGGGGGGGGAGGAGGGGGAGGAGGACAGGGAGGACAGCGGGAAAAGGAGGAGGGAGGCAGGAGGAGGATGGGGGAGGAGGTAAGGGGGGACGGAGGAGGAAGGGCAGAGCGAGGTTCTCGGGCGTGGTTCTTGGTGCCTTCGCAGACCTTCCCCCCCCTTCCTCCCCTTGCCCCCCGGCGCACACTTCAAGCACCGAGATCCCCGCGTGACACGGCGGAACGGCGCGCGCGAAGACTATGCCAGCCCTCCGCGCCCCTCTCCATCCCAATCTCGTCTGGCCAGGCCTTCCGTCTCGAGGGGAACAGTCCGTCCAGGAGCTCTTGCAAATCGACCCGCATGAGCTGCACGGTTTCCCCCGGGGCCGTAGGCGACCCGAGGGGGAGGAGGAGGAGGAGGAGGAGGAGGAGGAGGAGGAGGAGGAGGAGGAGGAGGAGGAGGAGGATTATGGTGTCAGTGCCCCTCTACAGTCTGTGGAACTGACGATTCCTGTGGGAGTGCCCAGAAGAGTGGTTTGGGGAGTGCCCAGGGTGAGTGCTCAGGGGAGTGGTCTGATTCCCCCCCCCCCCCACGCTTTAAAAGCACTCAATGAGTGTGAAAAACCACTGCCCCCCCAAAGAAAAACTGAAATGTGAATCAACGACGTCTGATTTACTGAGGCCCCACTCTCTGAATAAACACAGCCGATGCAAGAGATAAGGCGTGGTGGACATAGAGAGACAACGCGGGCAAGCATGCGACATGTCAACGCTTCTCTTTTGTCGATTGCTGGTTCCTGGTGCTTGCACCCTGGATCTCTGCGACTCCTGGCTGCCACGAGCACACCCGCACGCCGTGCAGCATATATACATCGAGTCGGGGGCGCCGCCTGGGAAACAGGGAACACACTGCACGCGTGAAGTGAAAGATGAACATGCGTGCGTTGTCACATATCGGTACATGCCCGTCTTCGCGCGCACATGGTCGGACACGCTTTCAGAATGCATAAATCTGCACCCCGATCCTACTTAGCGAAACCGAGTTCCAGGCCCCTCCAAGTACCCAAACCAGAGCGAGCTTTACCCCTACAAGTCTGTGCGCTGCGCGTGCAGTGGGCGGGGGGCTGGGGAGAAGGCTCGCGCTTGAGGTCAGCAGGGGCTCTCGGCGAGGCTGCGAGTCGAAGCTCAAACTGAAATCTGGAACTTCAGAGCCTGCTCGCACCTCTCATTCAAAACTTTGGGAGAGTTTCCTAGCGAGACCCCCTCGATCTGTTTGAAAGCATCCTTGTGCTTAGCAATCGCAGCCCGCAAAGAAACTTTATCCTTGGGCTTCTTGAGCGCATGCCAAAAAAAGGCCAGTGTAAAAAACCTCAGTGTACTTTATGATGACCTGCTTGATGTCATCTTTGAACTCGTCGCCGCAGTCGAGGCAGAAAGCCTCCTCCATCTCCGCGACGCGAGCAAGCGCCTCGCGGAGAGGGGGGCATCATTGAGAAGGCGAAGCAGCGCGGGGCAAGTCATCGGAGGACCCCCAGTGGTTACCGGGTGGGCGAACAGTGGCCATGATTGTTTGGGGGGCCCCATGCACCTCCACCGCCACCCCCCGCCCAAAACGAAACGGCACCTGCCCCATTTCCCGCCCGCCCCACCAGGAGGCCCATGACCACCTACATGCGCTTCAGTGTCCTCTTCATGTGACCCAAGGATTTTCGAGAACAGCCCGCAGCCCCCCGCGGGTGCCGAACTGCCTAAAAGATCCCGGCGCAGCTTTCAAGACGACCCGAAATTGCCCACAGAGATCCAACGATAGCCTTAAGAGAGCCTCAGGCGGCCTCAGAGGGCCCCCGAGACTGCCCTACGACTACTCATACCCCAGCAGGCATCTTAAGCGGGTTGGCGGACTTGCGAGAGCTATGTGGGATGAAGCGTGGGGGGGGGGGGGGGTCTTTGGGGTGGCCTGCGCGGCGCCCTGAGCGTCGGACCTCCTCGAGGGGGGGGGGGGGCTCCCATCTCCACCCCCGCTTCACCTCCTCCACGTTTCGCTCCTTCCCCCACCCTCTCCCCTCAACTCCTTCACCCCCCCTTGTTCCCTCCCTCTTCACCCCCTCTCCCTGCTCCGACCGCCTCCTTATCATCGCCCCCCCTATGCTCCTCTTCCTACTGCTCCTCATGATCGTATTCCCCCTCCTCCTCCTCCTCGCACCTCCTCCCCCGCCCCCCTCCTCCTCCCCGCTCTCTCCTTCCGTCCCGTGGCCTTTCGGGCCATTCATGGTGGCGCCCCCGATTTGCATGCCGTTTCGTCGATGGGCGGGGGGGGGGGGGGGGGGGGGGCAAAGGAAGAGAAGGAGGAGGGGAGGGAGGAGGAGGAGGAGGAGAAGGTGGAGGAGGAGGGGCAGCAGCGGCAGGAGCTCTTCCTCCCTCAGTCCTCGTTTCGTAGTCGTCCTCCTCCTCCTTCTCCCCCCTCCTCGCTCTCCCCCCCCCCGTCTCCCTCCTCATTTTGCTCCTGCTGCCTGCTCCTTCCCTGCAAGCTGGGGCAGGGATTTGCGTTGAGTTAGCCCAGGGGGGGCACCGTGGTGGCGCCGTCGATCCCCCTCTTGAGGCCAGCAGTCCCTCTGTCCTGCATGATCGTCTTCTGCGCGTGCTCGTAGAAGTCCGCCCACTTGGTGCGCTTGTTGTCCACCAGGCCTTCCATCCAATGCCCAGCACCTTCGAGGCCGCCCTGCAAGGGGCGAAGACTCTCGATGACCTCCGCGGCAGCACTCTTCGCCTCCTCCAGCTTGGCACCACCCACGCTTTGCAAGCACTCGATGGCCTGGCGTCGAGTCGCCGTCAAGGCGGCCAGGATTCTGTATTCTTCGCGATCTCGATCTCCTTGGAGTGGTTCGTGGGCTGCTCGGTCAGGAATTGCAGCGTGGCCGTTGAAGTAGTGTCGACCTCTTGCCGCTCTTGCCCTTCAGCGTTAAGCATCGCGTTGATGGTCTGCGTCAGCTGATCGGCGGAGCGCCCAGCCACCATGGCGTGGGCTATCTTCTGCTCATCGGTTTCGTTGTCCATGCCCAGGCTCTGCGCCACATCGTCGATCACGCGCCCGGTGCGATCGACCTCTGGAGCTGGGTAGGACGCTAAGGCACCGTCACACATGAACCTCAGTGAGCTCAGTATCTCATTCTGCATCTCATCAGGCAGCCCAGTCAATGAAATGACGCCTGCGAGCATCTCGATCTTCTCGAGCTTGGCGATGGCGTCGCTGCCGTTCTCGACGCCACCGAACCCCTCGGAAATTGCCTTTGCAGTGGTCGCGGGCTGCAACTTGGCCATCAGCTCGACGAGCACTGTCTTCCACTTCGGGATGCATGTTTCCATAGGGAAGCACGAGACACCAAGTTTCAATACTGACAGCGCCACCTGAACTAGTTCCTGCCCGCGTTCGATCTCACCCTCGGCCTTGGCTATACGGGCAACTCGGCAGATGATGCTCATGGTCTTGTCGCGCAGCCGTTTGACGCACTGACCTGGGACAGGGAAGATGACCGCTGGGAGCATCTTGAGGATCTCCTCGGCACCGGATGCAAGCTCGTTGGGGCTAAGCTGCATCTTCGCGTCAATATCGGCGCTGGTGTCCACGTACTTGGGCCGAGCATCGTTGATCTTCGCAGCGTTGGTCATGGCGGTAGCGAGAAGGCCACGGTATAAGTCTACGTTTGCGACCACGAGGGCCACCGATTTGATCGCGCTGGACGTGTGCTCTGTGTCGCTGATCTCCTTGAGGTCGTTCATCGCATTCTCGCCAGCGTCGCCGTCGAGGAGCTTCTCCATGTCGAAGAGGGCGCCGATTGCGTTGGCAACCGTCGTGATCTCGCAAAAGAAGGCAGACGTGTCACCCAGGTCGTCGCATTGCTCGACTCAGCCCAGTCGTGCATGTGCTTGCACGTGGCGCGCGCGAAGTCCTTGCCGTTGCTGCCCTTGCCCATGAACTCACCCAGGACGCTCCTGATGAAGCGCGCCCTGGACGTCTCAAGCTTGACGGGGAACTCCCCGCCGACGAGCATGATGCGTGGCTCGAGCGGGTCGAACTCAGCGGTCCTGGGGTCGATCATGTCGCCGTCGATCTTGCAACAAATCGGCCATGGCCAGCAGTGCGCCAAGAACTTCGGCACGTCCACTGGGAATGTGACCTTCGTGCGCCTGGACGTCGCATCATAATCCCAGGTGTCTAGTTGGACGGCGGTCGGGATCGTCGTGAGTGATTTCACCCTGTCGGCGGGCGGCTGCGCCTCGTCGTCGCTGTGCCTGCTTAGGTCGTAGAAAACCCACAGCGCCTATGTCAATGCCAAGGTCCGTCGCCACACTTGCAATTTTGACCGTGAAGCCCTCCTCCTCAAAACCCTTTTTGTAGTGCTTTGCCTAAGCCCGCTTGATTGGTGACGATGGTGGACTTGGGGGAGATGACCAACCCAGCTTCCTTGCAACCCTTCGCAAAAGTAAGCCCAGCTTGCAAGGCGTGCCCCAAGACCCGCCTGTACCGACCTTCCACTCGTTGAGAAACGTCATCCACCCAAGACCTAGTCGCAACTGCTGGGGTGCCTTGTGCCACTCTGTCCAAAATGTTGCACAGTGCACATCTCGAGAAATCAACAGCCCCCCCCCCCCAGTCCTGCAATCATACTTTTCTCTGGGATAATTGGGTCCGAGTAGTTATCATTATCCTGTAGGAACCGTGCTCCCATATGCAGAATCATCTCCAGTGCTAGGATACTTGGAGGAAGCCCGTGCTCGAGTCCTGATTCGAGACATAGCCCCCGCTTGAGCGCATCGTAGAACCCCTCGACGTCCCACATCATACTTGCCTGAACCCAACCTTGAATAGTGGAGAGAGCCACGGTCTCGTCCGAGTAGCTGCGAGGTAAAGCTTCGCGCAGAGCAGATGACCCAGCCACTGCTGCATCCCAATGTCCAGCCCTGGTCTTCGTCCAAGTGGCTCGGTACTCACCACGACAACTGGACCACAACCTCGCCAGGCTAGATAAGACTCCAATGGCTCTGTCGTCTCCCGACGGCTTCCTCGTGAGAGTCACCAGAACAACAGTCAACTGCCAGGCCCATGCAACCTCTTGCTCGATCTGCTGGAATAAGTATACCAACTCCTGCTTGCCCGACTCTGGTAGCCAAACGAGGTCCTTTTTTCCACAATTGTTCGATGCCTTTCGCCGATGACCCTTTCATCTTCCTGATGCCTTCTTCTGGCGTGTCCATGTCGAAGACGGGGAAAGGGTTTGCCTTGGCGTTGTGTCTGGCTGTAGAGAGTAGCTGCCCAATCCGCTCTATCTCCAGGGACTCGTCACTCCACTTCTCCCGCCATGCCGACGCCCGAATGTCCATTGCTGTCAGAGGGTCAAAGGACTTGTTCTTGCCCCTTTCGAACTCGTCTTTAGCTGATGGCACGTCCTTGATAAGACGGAGCAGCTTGCCAGGTGCCGGAATGCACTGCTCCTCTGCCCATTGGGAGAAAGCCAAATACTGAGAGTAGCACTCCATCCTTTGCATGCTGCTGGCCCGCTTCGCACACTCTTCCTTGTACCTGCGGATGGTCTCCGAAGTCGCCGGGCTGAGCATGCGCAGCTTCCTGCACCAAGAAAGCTTTTCTTTCCGCGGGAGGGTCGCCAGCGTCGAGCTGGGTACGCCCAGTAGCTTCACGCAGACGCGTAATGAGCTTCCCAAACCTCGGAGACTCCCTCTTCGCACAGGCCCTATCCAACTCTTCCAGTAGATAGGCGATCTTTGCCCATGAGTCCACTCCAGCGTCCCTCGTGCGAGCGAAGGGCGGCGATGGCACCACCTTGCTGACGTTGACTTTCCGAGCCAGTGCTCGGCCTCTATGTGCATGCCCATCCTTGTCCAAACCTTCCCCATCCAACAACGAACTGAAATAATCCCCCACTTTACTGACCCATTGACCAAGAGTATGCCCAAGAGCCTTGTAACTGTCTGAGGTAAACTGCCAAGCGTAAGAAAGTTGAACGCAGTGTGGAGGAGTCGACCATCTACCGTCCGTTTTGACAACAAGAGAACGCCACAACTCTTCACGATTGTCGCATGACGACTTCTCTCCCAATGCCTCAGGAACAGGTGGAACGAGGTCGCCTCCAGGTACTTCCTCCCTCAGCAAGTCGTCCTCGTTTTCCTCGCCCATATCTTCAGAATCTGTAGCTTCGTCCAGATCCAGGGGGCCAAGATATTGAAAAGGTGGCGGCCCCTTGATCCCCATCCTCCCGCGCGCGCCCAGAGCTGGCACTTTTGGGCTCTTCGCCGACGGGGTAGCTGCCACCGCCGGCTTCCTCGAGCGCTTGCTGCGCGGGTCTGCCTTCTTCTTCGGCTGGATAGGTGGCCCGGAAGCCTTTGGAAGTCGGAGCGTTCGACCTCCCGCTTCCTTGGCTTCTAAGAGTAAGTCCAGCACTCTGCCGTAGTGCGCCTTGCCACCTTCGCCCGCCATCTCGGTATCAGCACGCGCGCGATCGAGATGCTCCAGAGCAGGGCCCAACGCAACCGCGTAATCGATCAACGTCCCTTGCCCACCTGTGTACGTGTAATCCACATTGTCAGGTACCAAGATATTGCCTTGTACCAGGTTGAGCCACTCTGCCTTGCGGAGCGTCTCAGGAGGGAAATTCCAGTCACACAAGATAACCCAGGGTGTGGAAAGGGATGAAACCAGCGATGCCAAGTGCCTCAACTTCTCCACATTAGCCCCAGTAGCTCCTATACCATTGTAAAGGCAGCCGACCACGATGGTGATGTGGGCGCCCTTCAAGAGGACCTGCATACCGACAGTGTCCTTGAACGTAACGCCCATGGTCTGGTTCTGCTCCACTGTGCACTTCTTCTTGTCCTCTCTTTTCCCTGGAAGATCCTCCTTGTTGGAAGTAAGGTGTCTTAGTGACCAAGAGGCCCACTTTTTCGATACCCCCATGGCCACGCCCCCAGCTTTTGCAGAAAACCAACTGGATTCCGCTCCCGCTGGGCACACCATGCTTTTGTAGCCAGCCTTGCCGAACTCAACCAGCACGTCGTTCGACTCTGTTTTGTCCGCGTGTGTTTCCTGAATGGTGACCGCATCGTAAGGCCTTTTGAGAAGAAGCTTCGCCGATGGTCCCCAGGTATACATGTTGCGCATGTAGATGTGAAACTTGGTGCCTTCCTACTTTCCTTGGCACTCATCGTGCACCATCTGTTCCTGCGCCACCTTGTCCTGGGTGTTCTGACAAATACGGTGCCTCACAAGTCCCCATAACATCGCGATCCTGTCTTGAACTTCATCGAAGTCTCCATCAGGCAGGAGCCGATCAGGAGGTACTCAGTTGTCAAGCAACCTCCGAAAATGGCGTCGCACCACGCGCAGCTCATCAAAATGCCACCTGAGGAAGCGGCGGTGCTGCCCCACGCCCCTGACGCTGTCGAGCGCTTCGAAGAAGAGGGCACGGCGAGGCGCTGCACGATGCCAAACCTCCGTGCACATGGTCTCAGCGATATCCGCCAACGTACGTCAATATAGCTACTCCAAATGCATGCAGAAATCCCTGCTCGTTGGCCTGGATAAAGATTCAATGGCGTATGGAGACACACCATTCACGCCAATGTTCTAAGCTGTTGTACCGTTCACCTCTGATGTGGTGTATCCACCTCGCTGCTGTGGTCGCCATCTCATCTCGCAGCCCCTGGCGCTCCCTGGTCTGGCTAGGAAGCCCCCGCGGGTAAGGTATGTGCGCAGGCCATCTTCCCATCTACTGATCTCCTTCCAGCAAAACGACCGGGCGCTTGCTCGACGCTCTGATATCCCAATCCTCCTGTGGGCTGGGTGCCCTGCGAGCAAGACGCCTGTCTCGGCGAGAGTGCCAGGCCTCCCCTGGCTTTGAGGACTCCTTCGCATCAATCACCAACTTCCATGTAACCTCCCAAACAGAGGCGGCTAACGTCCATTCCCAAAAGAGTAAGCTCGAAATCGTACCGCTGTGATCACGAACCCAGGGGGGCCGACCCGAGGTCTCAAGATTCGCAGCCCCCAGGGATACATTCGCCTCCCAACCATCACTACCAAGGGTCTCAATAGGAGCCGCCCCTTGGAACACACTCAGATCAGCGGTGTCCATGCCAATGGTCTCACGAAGAGCCACCCCTTGGAATAAGTCGTTGCCATCTGCATCCACGACGATCTCCTCCTCGTCGCTCATGCCAGAGGTCCCAGGAGGGGCCGCCCTCTGGTGTTCAGATGGGCCAGGGGTCTCAGAAGGACCCCCCCCCCCTGGAATCCTCTCGCCTCTGCGTTGTACATGAAGGGGTCTCAGAAGGAGCCGCCCCCTGGAATAGCCTCCTCCCAGCAGAGAAAGCCGCCGTGCCCAAAGTAGATCTGCCCGACGTCCCCTCTTCGTCGGCCTTCCCCTGCGCTACGACCATGCCCGAGGTGGGCGGGAGCCAGGGATCGGCCGAAGGTGGGCTTGAATCAAATCTGCGAATTGGGTGACCGCTTGGCCGCAAGGGTCTCCTCCATGATGCTCTTGAGCTCCTTCTGCTTGTCGGTGGCCACCTGGTCGACTGTGGCCCATGCTGCCGCCGCTCCATTCGAAGAACCTGGCGTAGCCGATGTCCCTGCTTCCGTTGGTGTCGGAGTCGAAGCCGGGCCTCCCGCAGAGCTCCCTTCTGCATCTGGTCGATGATCTTCCCCAGGTGCAGGGCTGCTCTTCCTCTTTTTTGGTAGCTTGCCAAGATCCGAGCTCCTCCACCTTCTTCTGCTGCTGTTCGGCCAGCGACGCAACCATCGTGCTGAACTGGGCCGAAGGCGCTGTCTTGAACTCTGTTTCGAAGGAGGTCTTGCGCCGCTCAAACTCAACACGATCTGCCTTCTCCAGTTCCACGTCCTCGAAGAGGCCCCCGAAGCTGAGGTTGAGTTCCGCACGATTCTCGAGGAATTCACGTACATCCATCTGTCCAACAGCTGGTCGGCTGACAGGTTCTGGAGCAAGCTCCTTGGCAACGGCCTCCTGAGGGACAATGGCGTCTGCCAGGTTCGCCGCCTGCTCCTTGCACTGGCCCATGGCAGAGGCCAGCTCCCGCTCGAGTCTGATAACTCTTGCCGCCACCTTTTTCCGGAGCGCCTTCAGCTCGCTCCACTTTCTGCGAAGCCTCCGAGAGCCGAACCGAAGGCGGCTTCGGAGGCGTTGCTGATGCCTGTGCCGGAGTGGACTGCAAGAGCTTCGCCTGCTCCGCCGCTGCGCCTCCCTTCGCAATGATGAGGCCCA